ACAGGAACATTAAAGACACTGGAAACTAAAACAATTTAAATATATACAAGCCATTTACAGCTCAACAAATTTATACTGAACTAATTTACTGTACGTTTTTTATTCTTCACTTCTGTGTTGACTTTTCATTTTGCTGATGAAAGCAAAGGCTGATAATTTACATAATCCAATCAAACCCAAATAGATCAAATCTAATCTAACTGAATATTCAATTTTTACTAATAATACATAAAATCACATCACAGGATGCCTGAATCTTACATATGGAATAAAGCTGAGTTTATTATTCACGTAGGTCTCTCAAACCAGTCACATCCAGTGATCAGTTCCTCTACAGTATCATCCACCACATAAACAACACTGGTTTTCCACTGAAAGCCAATCAGAATGGAGCAGTCGTTGTCCGTCAGCGTTTGACCTTCTGATGTGTACTGCGACATGAGGCCACACGTTTAGAGAATGTGTGTATCTGTACACACACACTTTGAGGTGTTCACTGTGCCAGTAGAGTGTGTTGAATGTGTAAGAGTGTGTGTCAGTGCAGATAAACAGCTGGCTGCTGTACACACCGGACAGTCTGTCTGTGGCTCTTATCTTCAAAGAGTCAGTGAATCGCTGCTGGCCTGCGACACGTGCCAACTGACCCAGTCAAACCAGTGCCAACCTGGACTGAAAGAGACGCCCGCCAACCCGTCAGACTGTGCTAACAAACAAACAGTGCTCTAGTCAACAATGTTCACACTCACAGTGATCAAATCATATCAGAAGTGAACTGCATCAACTCTGAGTTCAACTCTGCTCAATGATAATATACAATTTAATTTGAAATTGTATAATATATATTATATTTATAGAGTTTTATATTTCTTTGTTTTATATGTATATGTAAATAATTTAAAGCAGCCCTGTCCACAAAAACAGATAGATCTACTGCAGCATGAAAGACTTTAGAGCGGTTTACACGCACTATACACACTCTGTCATAGCGCTCATGACATGACATGAATAATGTAAAAGCATCCAGTAACAAAGACAGTCTGTCCAAAAACAGACACTCCACACAACAGAATCCATATCAATCACCTTGGGCCCTTTAATTTATGCTAATGTCATGCAAAGCCATTGCAGCTGATAGGTGGCTTCTTGCATCAGCAGTGCGACTTCCAGAACTATCCAGAAACTTCAGCTATCTGATGTCATCTTTATGAATGCATGTACCTCTGTGGCATTCAATGGAAAAGCCCAACACGTCTAGCACCATCGCATCTTTCACTAAATTAGGCATTTTACCATCAGCAAGGGCTTTTCTGTCCCTAAAGAAAGAGAGACCTATAGATCATCCAACCTTTTTCTATCTTTTCTGACCCCAATTTCATCCCAGTGACCCTCTTCTCATTGGCTCTGTGAAGCCCTCGGCCTCTTTTCTGGTCTCTGACAGATATTGTGGCGTAGTGTGTGAGAGAGGCGTGTCATTTAGTCTGCGATGGGCTGAAGCTTCATCTGTGCTCAATAGCAGCTCTCAAAGCTTCCATCAGCGGCACAAAGGCTGCCTGCTGGGGATTTCCTCTGAAAAGGTTCCTGCAACTCTTCTGATGAACAATACAGAACTGGAGAACTTGCCCAGGTCTTGGTGGACTTTTCTTGTCACAGAAACATACAGTGGCCTAAAAATACCATGTTAAAATGGATGAGGTCTGTCAAAATCACACGCAGAACATACTGCATCCCTTAATCAAAAGAGAATATATATATATATATTTTGCAAAAAGCAACAATTAAATGGTCCTAAAACTAGCTTCTAAATACTGTTGGTCTTCATTTTAAACTACATCTATAATCTCAAAAATATAAGAAATTATATTTCGCATAAAAACCAAGCCTAAAAATCTTAGATTGTCCTCAAAATATTTGTTTGTCTTCAATTTTAAACTACATCACTTTACTCCTAACAAGCGTCTTTTAATTAAATGTTTAGCTTGAAATTTTGGGGGGACAAATCTATAAAACATTTCTTCTTTATTTTTAAGAATGAGTTTTCCCTCAAAAATCAAAGAATTATATTTTGCATTAAAAAAAATTAAACATAAAAATTATAAATGGTCATAAAAATAGGCTGTGTTTTTTTTTTTATCTAGGTTTCACTCATAACAAACGTGTTTTCATAATTTTTTGGCTTGAAATTTAAAAATTGACATTTGAACAAAAATCCCACTTGCTTTGTAATATAATGACATTCTTTTCGTCCAATTTCTTTCTTGAAAATTGAAAACAAAAAAGGATCTCACTTGCTTAATGACATTCAGACAATAGGAAAGACTTTTCCCCCAAAACAAAAAAAAGTAATAATTTTGCATTAAAGAAATTCAGCATAAAGATTTTAGATGGTCCTCAAAATATTATTCGTCGATATTTTAAACTATATTGAAATTTGAACTTTAAAATAAATAATACATGCTTCCGTATTCTGCATGTAATTCATTTTTAAGAGTGACTTCAGTGTCAAAACCCTCTAATGTGAGAGACGAGTATGAAAACATTCAGTCTTTGAAATCTCCCTAAACATGCAGGAAATCTTTGCATGTGACGTCTCATGGAGCGTGAACGCTTCGAAATCAGATGTGTGTGGATTAGAGGAGCGTCTCTGAGCTCCACGGAGCCTGTCAGGTTGAGAAGGCCGAGCACAAAGCGTGTGATTTCAATATGAATGGTGCGGTGGAGGGAAGGACACGGCTCTCGCAGTGGGGTGACTTCCCTTCTGAGCAGCGTTCTCCATCACAAACACACGCGTGCTAAAGACACAGCGCAACTTCTGCATGCTGACAAGCAAAACACTTTACTTTCATATCTGCACTTCATGAGCATGTCAAAGAGAGGATCACTGCAGAGATGAAATGTTAGGGGACCTATTATACCCCTTTTCAAAGTCTTGATTTTGTTTTTGGGGACTACTAGAATAGGTTTAAAAAACAACAACATTATTTTCCACATATTCTCCATTGTCGCAGCTCCTCTCTTCCCAGTCTGTCAGTAACGCTCTGTTTAGTTCCTGTCTCTATGAAGCCTCTCTTTCAAGCACAATGTGCTCTGATTGGTCGGCTGGACCAGTGTGTTGTGATTGGTCAAGCACTTTGAACGCATTTGGGAAATGTCACGAAAGGTCTCGTTTACTGTAATTCAAGCCATTCTGAGACACTGTGAGCTGCACGTGTGTAAATCAACATACAGTTCCTTCGCTCTGAAACCAGCAGCGCATTTATTTATTTGCTGGCAACCAGTCAAAATAAAAGCTTGATGGAACAAATAAAGATGTAAATAATAGTATTGTAATTTTACAGTTAAGTAAATGTAATTTTATTCAATAATCACAATAAACTCACTGGTTTGAATTGAGTTAGTCTCATAAAGACTAAACTCAAGTATGAACACACACACACACACACAAAAATCATTCAGCCCTAAATGGATTTAGCACTTAAAGTCTTTAAAGTAAAAAGTAATTTTTTTGGCTCTTTTCAAAATTATTTTCTATGCAGATGCACTGCACAACAATCATTCTAGAATGCATGGCTGCGTCCAAAATCACATACTTCCCTACTGTATAGTAGGCGAAAAACAGTATGTGACAAAAGAAGTGTGTCTAATATAAGTAGACAAAAAGTACCCAATGACCTACTACTCCCGATCTGATCCTGAAGTGTGCATTCGATGGACACTTTACTATCCCATGAGGCCACAGGAGAGGATCCGTGAATGGCAGTGAAGCGACGTAACTGACGCTGGTAGGTCACATGAAACATGGCAAATTTAGTACAACCGAATTATATTCATACTACACACATTCATTCTGTATAGATACTTTTTTAGCGCTCGCAAAGCAAGTACTCAAAATAATACCTGCTCAAGAGAGTATGTGATGTTTGCAGTCTAATTCTTTACAAATAGAGTTATTCAAGTCCTCTGGTGCAACTTCCTGTATTCTTTCATATCGCAATACATATCGCAGAAAAAAAAATATCGCAATTTTTTCCAATATCACACAGCCCTGGTTTTCACCATCAACATACACACGCAGGACTCTCTGCGCACATTTGGTCCATCTGCCGCACGTGGAGCCCCTGAAATGACTCTGATGAGTCTCGTTGTCTCCTCCTCTGTCATTATTCTGTGTTATTCTCTAATGCAGACGGGTTGCAGAGGTCCGCAGCTTCCCGGGGCTCCGGCGTAAATCTCCCAGAGCACCTGCCTGTAATTTGACTGCTAATCCCTCTTTCCCTCCGTCACTGCATTACAGCCATTATGAGCTTTAGCCAGCCACATGACATGCTCTCGCACACACCACAAATTAAATGCAAATACAGCCTCTTTCTGGACATAATGAAAATGACCTTCGCTGCCCTGCAAGAGTGAATCAGACGCTGATGTATGTTTGGAACGACAGACTAGTGCATTGGTTTATCAATGACTAATACTGTTATCTAAAGAGGGCAGTGGCAGATATGGGCTAATGCAATATTTCATCATAGCAATGGAGATACACACACATATACACTGAAATTCAACACTTTTTCACACTTACATATTTTCAAGATTCAATCAAATATTTGGAAACACAAGTTTCTCTTTCTCAAAACATTACATAGTACTTTTCGTATTTATGTTCAACACTATATCTATAATTTTACTCACTCTAACGAACATATTTTAATTAAATTTTTGCTTCAAATTTGAAAATTGAAATTTGAAAAAATCTATAAAATAACCCATTTGCTTTTGACAATGAAAACATTGATTCTTGAATCCTAATTGAACTCACAAACAATAACTAAATGCAATCTGCAAGGTCACATAACAACTATGTTGCAAACATCTGTTCAACTGTTTTTAATCAATTGTATGCACTGAATACTTTACAATATGCAATACACAACATGCAAGTGCCATTTCAAACATAAGCAGAGACTGTAGAACCATAAGAGCTTGTGGAGCGGCGTGTGTCGTACCTGTTTGGGTCCCGGCGGGCGGCTCGTCCAGGTCAGTGTTTGCTGTTTGACGTCCCCTTGCCGTGACTGTTGGTCTTACTGCACACCTGGATGCTGTCGCCAGATTCAGGCTGTAACTTAACGGTCGGAACGGTGAAGATAGAAGACACTGAAAAACAACGACAGATTCGGTCTATGAGCCTTTATGTAACATGTATGAAATCTTCTTTGACAAAAGACAACGTAAAATATAACATCATCATTTAAAAGTACAGAAAGGGAGGGGAAAACAATAGTATTGTGATGATGATGATGATAATGACAAGAAAAATAGGAAATCAATAACTGAGAAATTCAAAATAGATCCAGAAAGAACTGATGAATCAAACTCGAAAACAAACTCATTCTTTTTTCTATAGGGATTTAAAATAATGATTCAAAAAGAGTTAATTCAATCCAACCAGCATTTAGATAAAAACATTACAAACATTGATAAAAAAAAAAAAAAAAGTTTAAAAATAAGATAATGTAAAAAAAAGAAAAGAAAAAATGTTTTAATTAACTATCCCATGAAGCGCTGTGAACTACATATGGGGAATTTTCTGACAATTGTGTTGAGAAGAATAAACACTACAGTAAACCAGGAACAAACTGCATGAGGCACTGACCAATAGCTATTCACAGATAAACAAGAATACTATTTCATAATTAATTCATCAAAGCCGTTTCTACTGCATTATATTCCTAAGGAACCAAATGTCACAATCTCAGATTCACACACACCAGAGTCAAACCCTTTTTACTGCATTCAAGAAGCCAGTGACCCTGTAAAGCTGCTTTAAACACTGATAAACCCGGATAAAAACAACCACTATTGAACATCTTACACCAAAACTCGAGTGTTATCCGTCATGCTCCCACTGTAACTGTTTCATTGTGATGAGCTCAAAACATCACAGATGTGTTTGTCACTTCAGAAAGACCCAGAGATGTAGTGTGTCAAAGTACACACACACACACACACACACACACACACACACACACACACACACACACACACACAATATGTAGTGTATAGTATTGATTAAATTAAACCAGTATGCAATCAACATTTGAACAGTTGTTTGTGTACATATGTGTGTAACATACACACTATATATATAAATATATATATGCGCAACAGTAAAAAAGGTTCTTGCTATAACAAAACTAGCACTAGTCAAGATAAATATGAGCCATTTCATTTAATAAACGTCATAAATCCTGCTGCATTTTCCGTATCAATCAAAGCCGGAGCTGAAATGTTAATTACTCGTCCAGCTTCCCCCAAACAGCAACCGTTCTCTTTTGTGATTGAACCGCAAGCGTATATGAAACAACAGAATTAATTTTCCCTTCATTCTTCTGCTTGAAAAGCGGCGCTGCGCTCTGTGCGTCAAAGATCCGCCTCCACGACTCAGTCCCGCCTTCCTCCCGAAAACAACCTGCTGTGAGCTGATAACAGGATTAATTCAGCTCCGACTCCTAATCTGTCAAATTAAAAACCTCATTCTCGTATTCAAATGACTTGCCCGACGCTTGTCTTCCGCAAACGCCTGTTTTCTGTAGCGCACAACATGTGTAGGACTAAATGTGCCTGTGCTGCAGTTTTGTCTGTCTACTAACCGAGGCATAAAGACGATCAGCGGCTGTGGAGGTCTCACGTGTGGATTATGGATACGTGTCACTTTAGACAAGACAAAAGGCCTTGAGGTCTTTTAAAATCCCAAACCAGCCAGAATGACCCGAATCATCAGCAGCCGCTCAATGCTTCTGCAAGTGTTAGGGGTGGAACGATACATGTATTCGTATTGAACCGAAACACGGTTCGGTGCACGAATTTGCACGGAGAATACACGGTACGGAAAAAAAAAACTCTTAAATAGCGATAAATTTCGCTCTATTCGCTTTTGGTGTGACTGTGAACGCAGCAATGAACAGGCTGCGATCAAGATCAGGCTGCGATATGTGTGTGTGTGTGTGTGTGTGTGTGTGTGTGTGTGTGTCAGAGGCACGGTCGATCGAACAGTGGAAACATAAAAACATACTCCGTCATTTTTTTCCTACAGGACATCATTAAAACTGCAAATTGTTTACTTATATTTGTGTACACTCGCAATAAAACACAACTCTGCTTTTGTCACACTCTAAACTCTTGTCAAACTGTAACCTACAACTGTTAACAAAAGTTTTTAATGGTAGTATTATTTTATACGGAAATCAATTATTTATAATTCAGATGAGAATAAAGTTAGGGTTAATTAAAATGAAGGAAAACAAATATATTGATCTGAAATAGCAAATTAATTTTAAATTCATTCAGGTACAATTACCAAACATATCTCAAGGTCTTTTCGTCTTTTTAATCATTTAATTAATAATTATATAAAACTACTGTCAGTGCTCTACAAATAAACTGGTTCTATGCCTTTATTAATAAAACTTATTTAAAAAATACAAGGCTTAAGACATTTATAAAAAAGCCTTCTGCATTTTTGTTTTGCTATTCACTTCATTGTACCGAAATCGTACCGAACCGTGATGTCTGAACCGAGGTATGAACCGAACCGTGACTTCTGTGTACCGTTCCACCCCTAGCAAGTGTTGAACACAAACGCTTTATTAAAGTCACCATGAAATCAAAATCAAATGTGTTTACTGGCTTGAGGGCGGGACAACCTGTCACTCACATGAGATCCACCAATAGCGAGTGTACAGAATCAAACCTCGTTCTTGTTCAAGAAGCTGTTTCACTCCGATATATGTCCACAATAGGGATGAAAAGATTGCAACTTCCGTTTCATGCCGACTTTAATGTGGCGTCAGAGCTGCTAGTTGTCAGTCAGGGATGTTTCAACAGTATCTGGGCTTCGATGCGTCAATGAATGACATAAACAGAAAGCTTATAGACCGTATGTAGCTCCGCCCCTTTTCAGCGCTGCGCTCTTGTCTTTTGTCTTCCGGTCTGTATTTTCACAGCGATCTTACGCATTTATGAATGACCGGCTCGTTTTAAAATCTTCCCGGTCTATGTTAAGACATCTGCTTTAAACATTATAATCCTCATGATAACTTTTGTTAACTTTACAATAAGTAAATCCACTTCACCAGCGTAATTACTCCTGGACAGCAATGCCATAAAAATATACAGAGCAACAATTATTGCATCTGTACCACGTGCACATGTATTTATCTTCAGTGCTGGGTAGATTACTTACAATTTGTAGTCCGTTACTGAATACAAATGACAAAAAAACTTACTCTAGTTAGTAACACATTCTATTAAGTTAAGGTAATATAATCTAACTACTTTTAGATGACTTTTCACAATTTGTATATCACATTGCTTTGAATAGGATAATTGTTCCATACTGATATGAAATATAGACAAAAAAAAACTTATTCCGTTCTCTATATTACATCAAAGAGGTTTGACTGACAAAAAAGTTTGGAATTTGATAAATACAAAATGTCAGACAAAAGCCTTCCAAACACAGTAATATATGGTTAAATTCAGAAACATTATGAATATTTCACTGCCATTTAGTTAATAATATGAAATCATGTAATCAATAAAAAATAACTGTAGTCTGATTTTAAAGTGTAATATAATACAATTACATGTATTTTATATTTGGAATCTGATTGTGTGATCCAGATTAAATATACTCAGTTATTACTGTTTATTCTCATGTTTAGTGACATCACAAAGCACCGCTACTAGTTAAAAAGCATGCTTTTGTTTTTCACTCATTTTTATCAGATTTTCTTTGTTTCAGGCTCTTTTGTGTCTGTAGGACTCTTTGATGTGCTGCCCAATTCAAACTTTGTAACAATCTGAAAATCAACCAATCAGAATCAAGAAGTCAACACTGCTGACAATAACCAATTCCTGCATATTTGGGTTTTGCAAATCAAGAGTGTCAGTCTGTTGGTCTCCAGGGGAAAGTGAAGCTCGTCTCCTCGTGGAGAAACCTGAGGAACATGAGTCGTGACAAGGCAGAAACGTGATGACTGTGCAATCTTTGTGAATTACCATCAGAGAGATCACAATCCCCACAATGAGCTCAAACTGAACGGCGTTTGGTATTCAGTTCCAGACACGCATCAATGAGACGGCATGTTTAACAGTAAGAAGGAGCGAGAAGAGACAGAGAGAGTAAAATACTGCTGAAGGAAGGCAGATGGAGGAAAATACAATGGATTCCTAACAAACTGCCCACTGCGCAGTATACACTGTACACAGGCGTAATAATGAAAACCACAGCTGCATACTGCAGTCTGTACACTACATCTGATACATATAACATGTGTGAAAGTGTGAAGTATGCAGTCGTAAATAATGAAAAGGAGAGATAAAGACTTAAATAAAGTTTGATTTATGGCAAGAGACCATAGAATCACTAAGAGACGGATACGACTGAAATGGAGATAGATACACAGACAGACAGACAGACAGACAGATAGAACGATAGATAGACAGACAGATATTAAAAATGGATCGAAACAAATGAAAAAAAAAAGATTTGTATATGAATAAAAGGATACAGTATTCTGTGCAGTGTGCTCTGATTATGTCCTGCGCACTTTTGTACGGCATTATGTACTTTTGACAAATGTAGTAACTGGAGTGTTCCATGCATGCATACTGCAAAATGAGTATGAGTAGTACGGTACAGCAGTGTGTGAGTGTGAAGTCAGTAACGCAGTGATGTGATGCGGGTGGACTCACTGTCAGGCAGTTCCCAGAGTCTCGGGGGCAGATGGACGAAGTACTCATGGTGGAGCGCCGCCTGGGCCGAGACACGGTTCTTTGGGAAGCACTGGAGGAATCTGGAAGCCAGCTCTTCAGCATGATCTACATAACCCAGCCTGCCAACACACACACACACACACATTTAAACATACAGATGATACAGTGCCAAGATCACCACACACACACACTGCTCGCATCTCTCTGTCAGCTTCACTCCCGCTGACATGCGGCTGGAAAAATGTTTGTTGACTTTTTTGGAGTGGAAAATGCAAAGTGAGTTTTCACCCTCAAACGTCCTCTAAACTGCAAAGACAAAGACAAAGACCGACTCAAACACACCTGCATTCTGCACTGCAGAACAGATAAACACATGAACACACAGCAGATCTTTAGATGCCGAGCTCTCAATGAGTGTACAGATGTGCGGTGGTCTGTAAATTAAACCAAGATTCTGGTAATGATTTTAGGATGGCAAAACTTACATGAATGATTTACATCACAATATAACAAAGATGGTCTGACATCACTGCTTTATTTATCTGACGATGACTAGTCTAGTTAATAGTCTGGTCTTCTGTCCAAGAACCGCCTACTTGCTGAATGTCTGATTGACATGTGAAGTGACCAATCACAGTTTGTTTGGTGTGTGTTGCTTGGGGCGGTTTATCTGAGATAGCACATATGACAACTATAGACCAGTATGGATAAAAAAAAGGAAGTAATTTAGTTTGCACACACACAAAAAAATCTAAACATTGGGGTAAATTTATTTCAAGAAATTAATACTTCATCAAGGATCCATTAAATTAATCAAAAGTGACAGTAAAGACAATTATAAAATTACAAACAAATTATATTTCAAATAAACGCTGCTGTATAAATAAACCTGTCTTTTGTCGTTCTCTTGATCAAAAAATCCAAGAAATAAAAATGTATCACGGTTTCCACAAAAATATGAAGCAGCGCAACTGTTTTCAACATTGATAATAATCTGAAATGTTTCTTGAGCAGCAAATCATCATATTAGAGTGATTTCTGAAGGATCAAGTGACTTTGAAGACTGGAGTAATAATGCTGAAAATTCAGCTTTGATCACAGGAATAAATTATATTTTAAAATATATTCAAATAGAAAACAGTTATTTTAAATTGTAATAATATTTCACAATATTACTGTTTTTACTGTATTTTTTTAATCAATTTTGTGACACTTTTCAGCAATAGTGTAAAATCAGAATTTCTTTCCATAAATCTGGATTTTTTCAGACAAAACAGTAAAAACGAATTGGAATATATTGTACAGTTTCTATCATGGATATCTATTGTGCCCCAAATAAAACCTCAAAAGATTCACTTTCAGCTCAACGACTGTCTTGGAAGAGCGAGTTAGTTAGCATGACTGACTGCTAGTGCTAACATGCTTGTTTCTGGATATCATCTGTTCTGATGACACACTCATTTGAAGGAAATTCTGTCACTCTACCGAGGTTTGATTCTGTCACATTATGCTAAAGATACATGACTGATTGTGTGTTTGCAAGCATTCTCATGTTGCGTAGTGTGTTTTCTGACTGTGTGTATGTGTGTGTGCGATCGTGGTTACTGAACTCCTGAACTATCACACACACTACTGCCAATGAAAAACCAAATGTAAAAAACGACAAATGTATGTGGATAATTAGGCCTCTAAAGCATTAACACATTAAAGAAACATGAAGTTTCTGTTCACCAGCGGCACTTTCAGCACTTAAAAATGTGTGTGTGAAACAAGCTTGTGTACGAGTGTCTGTGAAACAAGCTTGTGTACGAGTGTGTGTGTGATTAGATGGCTTCTGTTTGCATCTGAAGTTCGCACTTGTGTTCTCATGCTTCTTCTGATAGTTCAGATGTGGGTTAATCAAATGAGATCAGAAACTTCACAAAACTTCATCTGATCATGAGGAAAAGACCAAGGTCATTTAATTTGTTTAAATGTTTTTGACCGTTTCCTTGTTCAGGACCTGATGTAATTTACATTACTGTTCAAAAGTTGTTTTATTTGGGGGGAAATGGTAACAATTTACAATAAGTTTATTAGTTAATGCTTTAACTAACAATAAGAATTCCATTTGTTACAGTATTTATTAATTTTTGTTAACATCAGTCAATAAAATAGTTAATCAGCTCAGGTCCATTATTAACAGATCTTTTACTATAAGTAATGTATTAGTGAATGTTGAATTTAACATTAACTAAGATTAATAAATGCTTCAGAAGTAACATTGTTATTTCATTTTGTTGTTTACTAATGTTAACAAATGTAACTTTACTGTAGTGTTACTGGATATTTGTACGAAGGACTATTGAACCTGAGCAAAGTGTTATTGCTCAGATGTTGCTCTTTCATAGTTTTCACTGATGCTTCATTTAAGGATCAACCGCATCTCAGATGTGTCTCTTTTAAAAGTAGGAGTATTAAGCTATGAAAAATAAAGTGATGTGAAATGAATTTGATGAGAAATGTCATATTGAGATTTCTGACTTTCAATTGATTTTGATTTGACGGAGCACAGCTTTCGACATTGTCAAGATCTTCGATGAAACTCAGGAGAAACATCTGAGAAATTTATAATTTGAGCAAAAGTCTCCATTTAAGGTCAGTACCGTCCAGGAGGAATAATTGAGATATTCAGAAGATTTCAGGTGATTTGCAATAGAAAATGGTGAAAAACTTATGAGAAACAGTGACATTACAGCATCTAAAACACACTTTGCCATTCACACAAAAGAAAAATGGGTGTTATAAAAAGCTATACAAAAACACATAATAAAAAATAGTTGTGGTCACTTACTTATTCCAGGCTTGTCTGAGTTTCTTGGGACTGTAGACGGTGAAGCGATCTGCAGATGAGAGACAAACGACAGATGAATAACACATCTGCTCACCACACCAAAACGACATTTATTAAATAAAAAATACAATAAAAGCAGTAATATTGTTAAATATTATCACAATTTAAAATGACTGTTTCCTATGTGAATATATTTTTCCTGTGATCAAGGCTGATTTTCAGCATCATTACTCCAGTCTTCAGTGTCACATGATCCTTCAGAAATATGATGATTTGCTGCTCAAGAAACATTTCTGAATATTATCAGTGTTGAAAACAGTTGCGCTGCTTCATATTTTTGTGAAAAATCTTTCTTTTTAGGATTCTTTGATAAATAGAAAGTAAAAATAAAACATCATTTTAACTTTTAATCATTAACATTTGGATCTAGTCTTTACTGGCACTTTTGATCAATATAATGACATAAAAATATTGATTTATTAAAAAATTAAACTGTTACTGACCCCAAACTTTTAAACAACTTTGGTCAGAGTGATCAAATAATGAGTCAAGAAAGAAATGACATTCTCCACAGCTGATATTCATCCATCATGCTGGATATTCTATTCATATTTTGAAATTGTTTTTATTTTTATATTTTCCATTTTAATTTGAGTTAAAGTTTTAGCAATTTTGTTGTGCGTTTTTTATAGGTTTTTTTTCCTTTTTCTATTTTCAAATGTTGCCTTGTCAACTAACTGAAATCTATTTTTTTTTTAAATAAAGTTTATTTTATTTCAAGTAACAAAAACGTTTTTGTTTTTTTATGGCTTTGGTTTTAGTTTTATAATAACCCCTAAAGGTGTTCTATAATACAGAAAATGTGCGTACTGCACACAGTAAACATCCTACTCTTTGTTCTAGATGTCGATTCATTAGTTTGGCCTCCTGCGGACTGGATCAATACACACCGTCCGCTCGGGCATTCAGGTATGAAACATCAGTGCACACACACACACACACACACACACACACACACACACACACTCAATGCCCCTTATATAAAGCCCAGCAGCTCCATGACCTGTAATTAAACATCCCAAACCCCACAACCGATCGCTAACACTTCATCAGGAGTGAGTATTCAATAACAGCACTGCACTGGGAGAATGGAACGGCATATTTACATAGCAGAAAACCCTGTGATAATAAGGTCTCATACGGTATTATTTGATATAAACTGGTCATAGTGTAGAAGAGCAGTGAACACTGTCCTCTGCTGCTACAACACTGAACTACACCTCTTCAACATGTCTAGCTGATATTAGGCAAGAAACTAAAGGAAAAACACACACTGCTCATTTTTTTTAGCAATTTTGCTTCCACAACATGACTTCTTAAAATACACATTTAAGTGTTATCTCTGATAAACCTCCACTTCTCAGCAGCACTTGCAATTACCAAACTTTAGTTTCATTCCTATCTATATTCTTAAGGTGTTTCTTACTATATCATTCGCCTGATTTATATATATTTTTTTTAAATCCTAAAAACCTGGTGAAAATGTTTGCAATTCTTACTGCAATCAATCAAATGGGAAAGTATGGTGATATCGATTGATCTATATATATATATATATTTTTTACCCTATTCAACCTCAAGCCATTATGACTTTCAAAATGCAAATAAGGCTTATTTGTAGTGGTGTCCGAAACCATAGTGGATGTTATTGAGTGCACTCATTCAATCCCATAATGCACCGCAATAACGAGTGTACAACCAATGTACACTCAACAGCTAGAGAATACCCATAATGCACTGTGGGGGTCGTGCCAAATAAACTCCCGCATCTCTCCTGAAGATGGCGCTGACCCATACATTCATTTTCCAAACTGCTGGTTCAATGTGGCTACAACGTAATATCATACTGGTATAAGTCTTCTTATACTGTCTATGGTATAAGTTCCTTTTTAATTGATTAAATTGTTTAATTAAGGGATATACATGCTAGTTTTCATGACAGAGTTCAAGATAGCTACATCTTTTCATCACTACTGGAGCTGCCAGTTTGCTAAGTTTTAAACGATTATTAAACAGCAAGCACAAACTGCAAAAGCGGCAACATTTCTGGCGAACTTAGTGTCTGAAATTCACTCACTTCTTCAAGTGGACAATATTAGTGGACTAACGTAGGGAATAGTGAATGAGGATATAGATTTCAAAAGCAGTCTTAGATTTGAACAGCTCTTTAGTATCTCTGCTCCAGTATCTATGATCATCAGCATAACGGTTTATTCCAGAACATTCCTCACATCTCGTTTTTTAGGCCATTGAGAAAAGATAAAATAATTTCAAATATATTAAATATATATATATATATATATATATAAATAACTTCATTGTGATATTACATTAACTTACATTAAAAAAGATTAAATTACTCATATCATGAAATAAGATTTTGTTCATATATCACCCACCTCTATCCTAACCTGTTCAGAACTGTTAAAGATTAAAGTCCCCCTGTGGTAAAAATCAAGCGTTTAATGTTGTTTATATGTCTATGTGGTGTTTCTAATATGCTTTAAGACAAACCATGTGCAAATTCATAAGTCGACACCATTGCTGAGTATTTTTCTCCTTAAAAACTGCAGTGAAAAAAAGACAGGTTTAAAAACACGGTTTGAAATCGCGTAGATTTAGCAATATAGCGGATATATGATGTATATCACGATGTTATGTTGAACTAGGCTATATGCCTTCTTCCACTGAGTTGTTCAAATCGTTTCTGATGACTGTTAGCAGGCGACAGAGATGGCGAACGGGAACATGGTTTGTGTAACATTAGCAACACATAATTATCTATATTTGATAAGATAGTCAAGCAAAAGGCTAATCATATTAATTACTGTCATGTGTCCGATGTTGTAAAGAGCGATACGATTGGATTGTACAGCGTTTACCTCAGTAAGTTGGCCGAGTGAATCTCTGAGCTGGCGCGAGTGAGTGAAGGCGGGGCTAATTAGCATATTCATGAATCCGCATACTACATGTACAGTATATGCGGGTGTAGTTACATTCAAGCTATTAAAGGTGCCATATGTAAAAATTGAGGTAAAAATATCCAACAAATGAGCTACACGTATCAAAAGAATGAGAAGAAATAAATGCAATGATGTCATTAAAAAAATGACAAGTTATAGTGCTGCCGAGATATAAACCTGAATTAGCATGCTAAATTACTAGCCCCGGCCCGGCCGGTGTCATAATACCAGTTTCGGCCATGGGAGGCGGTATGCGGGCAACATACATAACCACCAGCCAAACTCCAATACACGAATAACTCGCACGGCTTGTGGGCGTACTTGAACCTGTCAATAGCATCTATATGAGACCGGCCTTTATAATTTAGTGTTGAGATGATTTCATTGAGTCTCTAATCTCTAAAAATCTCCAAATGAACTGCGGTCTTACGATCGTGTCAATTGATTTGATTAATATGCGCGAGGGAGAGCAGGAGGACAGCGCTCGTGTTGTTTGAAGACGTGAGAGTGCGCGCGCGCGGCCGGGGCGCTCTCTCTCTCTCTCTCTCTCTCTCTCTGCTCGTTATGCGCCCTGTCAAGCGCAGCAGTCATTCTATTCTACATCACTCACCGATCAAAATAGGCTTTGGTGGGACAAAGCGGACGATTTGACGGTTTTAGAAGATTAACAACCCGAAACTAAAAAACAGACTAGAGTAGGCCAACTTTCTGGAGGTATACTGCCCCCATCTGGTATGGAATATGTGGATTTTGAATTGATTTTTTTACACAAGGCCCCTTTAAGGCATGACGTTTTTTTTCACGGGGGAAAAACTTTTAAATATGTCATTAAGGGATACAATTATTGACTTGAATGTAATTGATAATATGATTGATAATGTGTTTTTTAAATTAATTTATAAAACAAGCAATTTTAACTTGTCATATTATTCAATTACTATTCCTGTTGTTTTAGTTTTTTTGCTGCGGTATCGATTCAGTATTGGTATCACAATATTTTAGTCAGGTATGGTATAAAGTCGTGACAAATGTGTGGTTAGTCTCCTGTGTGGTTTGCTGTGGTTGATGAGTGTTAATGAGCTCCCAGAGGTCGTCTGCTGGCACACGCATGGAGGACGAGTCAGTGTGTGTCATTTACAGTCAGATGAACAGGACTTTACCTGGTTTGAAGTGCGGGAGCGAGTGAACACCTGGCCACATGTCCTCCGACGGCGTCCCCAAAACCTGCACATCAGACAGAGAAGAAAGAAAACTAGCTGAAGTTAGAGCGCAGACATCCATCCCAGAGGGTTTTCCTGGACACCAGCAGGGCGGGACGTTTAATTCACACCACCGCTCAAAGACACAGAAGATGTTCAATGCGAATAAACAAGTTTATTATGCACAAGTGTGCGTGTGTAGAGCAGCAGTGCTGGCGGACAGCGGGGGCTTTTTGAAGTCTAAAGCTTGTAAAGAGCACGACTTGATTAAACACACTGTAATTACAGCCGTCAGACTCGATGAGCCGAACCGCTGAGACGAGCCTCAGAGAGAGAGAGAGAGTGTGAGTGTGTGTCTGCGTGTGTGTGTGTGAGAGAGAGAGAGAGAGAGAGAGAGAGAGAGAGCATGTGTGTGTGTGTGTGTGTGTGTGTGTGTGTGTGTGTGTGTGTGTGAGAGAGATAAAGATCACATGTGCAGATGAAACCACAAACCTCTGAATGTCTCAGGGACTCTCGTCCCTCAGAACTCTAATTATCGGAATTATTTTAATTATCAGGTGCTTTTAACCCATTTTCATTCTGCTACACATTCAGAAGGTGTTTTTAGTTTGTTAACATTTTCTGAAGAACAACTGAGTGGTGCTTGACTGTGCAAAACACTTGTCTTTAGCATCCCATCTACATAAAGTTCAGCATTGATGGCCTGTGTATCTGCCCTCTTCTCATCCTGATGTTATATCCTGGAAACCAGAACCCTCCAGGATGTTGCTATGTTGTTCTGTGCGCAATTCTGTCTGGTGTGATGTACAATCTTCTGATCTGTACAAAATGGTGCATCTGATCACTTAGTGAAGTAGCAGCACACCTCTCCTCAAAAACACACATGATTTAAGGAATCGTTTAATGTCTGGAGCACAAATTATGCCGGACAATCCACACATTCAGTAATGAGTTAGTAAACAGCATTATTAAACTGTACAAATGACCACACAGTCTTTATGAGGGATCGATATGTCCAGCAGGGGGCAGTATTGAATTATGTTCAGTTTGATGAACATGTTTTTATAAGAACTTTTATTTAAAGAAAATTGTTTTGTTTTTTTAATTATATGCTGAATATCAGCTGGCCACCAGTTAATTAGTCTAGGTTTAATTAATTATTTTTGTGTTTTAGAATCTTGATGAGTAATAATTCAATTGGAGTAGAATGCAAAACAACTTAATAGTATTTAAATACATTAAATGTCAACAACCAAACAAAAAGCGGCATTTATCATGTGATCCGCAATGACCCATGATAGCACACACACACACACACTTACTTGGGTACCTAAATTAGGCCATATTATAACATTTTAAAATGAAAATATATAGACTACTAAACCAGTATTGGGTTTAGGTTAATATTCTGTTCATGTTCTGTATGACATGCTTCTATACACGTGCACACACGCACACGCACACACACACACACACACGCACACACAGCCTTAAATCTAAGCTTTAGTTGACCTTCAGAAACAAAGACATGAGAAATGCCCTGCGTCCCTGCGATCAGTCCACTTTCACAGACATGTACCTCTGTGATGAGAAATCTCTCTGAGAAACTGAGTCGAGTGTTCAGAAATCTCACAGGAACCGGCTTCAGCGCTGGGATAACAGAAAACGGTCACTCTATCTCTCTCTCTCTCTGTGTCTGTCTATCACGCTCTCAGAGAGCAAGACCCTTAAAACAACCTCCACTCAGGAGCAAAAGCAATCTGGAGCGAAATTTGTCTTCTATATTGAACACACATTGGGGGGAAAGATCGAGCCTTGGACATCAAACATCCAGCGCATGAATCTCTGAGAGCGGGTCACCTTGACATGACCACAGACAGGTTCAGTTCGGATCAGATCTGTTTGGGACACACCCAAACACGGCAGAAGAAGCAAAGTCAACATGCACTCAAAACTCACTCTTTTTACTTTCTCTCCATGCTACTGCTCTTATAGTGAATGATGCATCGATGCACGTTATTCTCATACTAGTGCAGAATATTCATGGCATGAAAAACTACAAGAATCCTTGACATACTGTATATAACTAGGAATATAGGATTGCCATTGTGACGAAATTGTAATTTGAACTATATTTTGTGCCAATAAGCTGCTGCATGCAGATTCATCTGTGAGTTTGTGTGCAGAAGTGAGCGATACACCTCATTCTGACTAACCGTTGATGTGATTCTGCAAGCATTTTTCCTGCACAATGCATGTATATAAAAATTAAGCAAAAAGGTATCTTCAATTAACTAAAATAACATTCTGATCTGTTTATTCAATGCACATATAGTGTGTATGTCTGCTTATGTTCTGACATCACAACCAGAGAAAAATGCAATGTGGTTTTCTTGTGCTATCAGGAATAGAAATAGCGGATTTCAAGTTGTTAGTGTGCTGTCGAACCTGCGAAACCACAAGTGTCTCACTAAATGAATGCATGAGTTTGGGGCAGGACTGTTTGTTGAACAATAGGACGTTTAGCAGTTATTATAGCTGTCATTTTGTTTAGAGCTGCTAGTGTCGCAAAAATGATAAATCACCACATTAAACACGCAATCCACTCAATTAGAGGACTAAAGTTAACCATAACAGTTCTCTCATGCACCTTGTTAGAGAAAGATCGTGTGTCCTTTTGCACAACGGAGTTAAAAATCTATTCCTGATGTCAGGATTCTGCATTTAAAAACAGCTCTTCCTCTGACACACAGAACGCTCTGATCTGAGAGAAAACCGGTTCATTCCTCATGTTTTGCATGAGCAGATGGACCAATGAGGTGTGAGACAACCGACTGATGGACTGTCAGAGATCCTGTGCAGGTGTGTGTGTATGAGTGAATGTGTGTGTCAGTTTGGAAAAGAGGGCAGATAAACAGGAAGTGGCATCAATGCTGAACTTTATGGAAATGAGAAGCTAAAGACAAGACGAGGCTCTGACGTGTGCCATGGATTATAAGCTGATGCAATTTATGTTTTGCTCAATACAGTCCATACACATCTAATTTTCTCAATACACTAAACTAAACTAAAAATATAGACATGGTTATTAAAACATCAAATTTGTGAAATTAAAGTCAACTTTTCATTGTGCAAATATGATGACTTGCATTGCATATGTATGTATGCATGTATGTATATTTAAATGTACTGTATATAATTGTGTAAATAATATATATATAAACTGACACTTACACATACATATACAGTATATATACTGTAAATATAAGACTTTATTGATATGTATTAACAAATGATTGACTGTATTGAGCTGAATATTGACACTATTGTCTTCTGCTTTATAGCTGAATCAATGTTTCTCTCAAAACCGATAAAGTTTGCAACATCAACACCGTTATTGAGCTAAATTGAACTGACTCAAGCTGAATAACGACACTTTGAAACAATTTCTATTGTATAAAGAGGTATAAATATAAAGGTGACTCGACAGAAGTGCAACAGCAGATGGAGTGGACTCTCAGAAACAGAAGGAGGTGCAGAAGTGCTTCAGAGGGGGTTCCTGTACGGCTGAACACGGCGAGAGTGACGCCGCATGTTTTATGGATGGTGTGTGGAGGGACGGGAGTCTTTGAAGTGCGAGTGGAGAGAGATCAGTGTTTTGCAGATCACCGGGAGACTGAGGGAAGACGTGCCGGCGCTGACAAACCACAGCACACGCTGACAGCACACATCAGGAGAACACAAAACCTGAGAGCCACACAAACCAGAGCAACTGATGAACTTCTTAAAGGGATAGTTCACCCCAAAATGAAAACTCTGTCAGTAATTACTCGCCCACATGTTGTTCCAACCCCGTAAGACTTTCGTTAATCTTCGGAACACAAATTAAGATATTTTTTTATGAAATCTGAGAGCTGTCTCACTCCTCCATAGGCTTCTTAAAGTCCCTGTAAAGGCAATTTCAAAAAAAAATTCTAAACACATTATAAATGTTAGAAATGTATTGCTAAAACATATTACAAAGACTGTGAACTGTGAAGTACTGAATTGTGGAGTTAGACCGTTAAACAGTTTTTCACCATTGCTATTTTCCGGATTTTCTGGGCGGGGCTAAAACAGGGCTCGATGACGCACTGGAGCCCTTGAGCTCCTGGACACGCCCCTACTTGATGACGCACTAAAGCCGCTGAGGCTGGCCGCTCCTAACAATATTATAGAGCACATTCACATCAGTTTGCCGCTCAATCGCGAGTTACTGTCAGTACTATTAGCAACACAGCCTACAGATTGCTAGCTAGCTATGCCTTCGTCACGGAAATGCGTACTACCTGGATGCGATCACCGGATCACGTACAAAACAGATCGGTGTCCTTATTTAAATTTCCGAAAAACGATTAGCACTACATCAAGAAGAGGTGGATTAATTTTGTGAAGAGCCAACCTTGATGGAGAGCTGAGGATCACCGCCAAAACCCGCCTCTGTAAGTAATCATTTTACACGGGATAGTTTTATAAACTTTCGTCGGAGATAACTGTCTGGGATTCACTGATAATCCGCTGTTACTGGTGAATGGGGCCGAACCGACTCCCGCCTCAGCCTTCATCCTCCCGTCGCGCCGACAACTGGTGCCATCATCGGCAGTGCGTGCCCACCGTGCGAGCATCCATTCCGGCTGTAGAGTTGAGTGAGGACGGCAGCTTTCCCGCGAGTGGGCGTGGTTTCAGCGCAGCCAGTGGACACGCCCCCAGCGTTTGAGAGCAGAGAATACTGCTCATTTTTTCAAGATTTTGATAGCTTATTTTATGTACTTGCTGGCTTATTTTATCATTCAAATTTGGCTGGGTGACTAATAACAAATTTTTCTGTGGTGTGACAAACTCAAAACACATACTTAATTTTGACTTTACAGGGACTTTAAGGGATTGAAACTTGTCGGCCCAGAAAAGTTATGAAAGACATCGTTAAAATAGTCCAAGTGACTACAGTGGCTCAACCTTAAGTTTATCAAGCGACAAGAATACTTT